GGTTATTTTGCCCCAAGTGGCACAATTTGCTCCACAACAAAGTGCATGTCCAAGCATGTGCTCTGAGGCAAAAAGCCCCGGCTCAAATTTGCACTGCTTCTATTTGAGCTGCTGCAGGCACAAGTGCTTGCATGTGTGCATGCGCCCACCCACATTAACCTGCCACATGTAGCATGGGCATTCCCCGGGGACAAGTAGCAACAACACAAGGTGTGCCCTTGTTACTTGTCCGTGGGGCTAGTAAAGCGACCAAAACGCTGGCTTGCATCCATAGATGCTTCTCAAGCAAATCCCGGGACGTCATTCTCCCCCTGTACTCGGCCTTAGTGAGGCCGCAGCTGGAGTACTGTGTCCAGTTTTGGGCTCCACAATTCAAAAAGGAAGTGGAGAAGCTTGAGAGAGTCCAGAGAAGAGCCACGCGCATGATCAGAGGTCAGGGAAACAGACCCTACGATGACAGGCTGAGAGCCCTGGGGCTCTTTAGCCTGAAAAAGCGCAGGCTCAGGGGTGATCTGATGGCCACCTACAAGTTTATCAGGGGTGACCACCAGCATCTGGGGGAACGTTTGTTCACCAGAGCGCCCCAAGGGATGACGAGGTCGAATGGTCACAAACTACTTCAAGATCGTTTCAGGCTGGACATAAGGAAGAATTTCTTTACTGTCCGAGCCCCCAAGGTCTGGAACAGCCTGCCACCGGAGGTGGTTCAAGTGCCTTCATTGAACACCTTCAAGATGAAACTGGATGCTTATCTTGCTGGGATCCTATGACCCCAGCTGACTTCCTGCCCTTTGCGCGGGGGGCTGGACTCGATGATCTTCCGAGGTCCCTTCCAGCCCTGATGTCTATGAAATCTATGAAATCTACAACAGTGCAGACTAGTCCTGAGTGGAAGGGGCACACCAGTAGCATGGTCACTAGTAAGCGATTACATCCAGATAGCAGGAGCTAAATTTCATTTCCCTTTATGTGCTTAAATGAAACACAGGCAGTCACGCAGCTGTTTTTTGGCACTTACATAAAAAATGGAATTCTGTCCCAGTATGCAAGTGTGAATACATCCACTCAGTATGGCCATTATGTGCCTGGGCAGCTGCACAGCAAAATTGGATTCCTTGGTACATACCAAAGGCTGGGTAAGTTGCAGCATTTCAGCCAGTCAAAAGCCCATGGCCAGGTTAGATCTCAGATGAGGAGGAAGGGGGCTGTCCCACCTTTTAGACAAATAGCATAGTGCAGGGCTGCCCAAATGGCAGCATGAGGGCCACATCTAGCCTGTGATGGATTAATGTGAGACTTGTGTGCTTCTGCCCAGCCACCAAACATGGAGCAAGGGGAGGTTGAGTTGCTCACACAGAAGCAACTGGGGATCAGGTTCTCTCCCACATGGTGGTGCCAGGGATGTAGAGGAAGTGGGCTACTGCAGCAATCGTAGCATGGGTGGAAGGGGGCTGGCCAGACTAGAAGCAGCAGCAGGGGAACCCTTGTGGCAGGGTGTGGAGAAGCTCCCAGGGGAGTGGCTAGTGGGGCTAATGCTGCTTGCACAGTGGAGGTTCGAAAAGCCTGCACAGCATCTGGCCTCCAAGTTGCATGGCCTGGAAGCCCACAACTCATGCAATGTACAGTCAGTCCCCAGATGCTTTGAAATTGGGCAGCCCTGGCTCAATGGTTAGGGCACGTAGTGCATAGTCCCCCTTCACCCAGAAAGGGCTTGAACCTGAACTTTCTACTTTCTGGCAAAGTATATTAATCATCAAGCCGTGGGTTAGCCATTTCTCAAGACCCTCTCTAATCTTGAAGCTGATCTACTAGGCTGTCAGGAGAGGGAAATCTGAGGCAAAAGGAGAAAGAGAACAAGCTAGAGAGTGTATGACACCGTGAGATGAATGGAGCCCTGAATGCTAGGTTGGGTCCCTGATTCCAACAGGGCAAAAACTCCACCACAGTTGTCCATTGTATCCACTGAATATTAAATAATGCAACAAGTCAGATTCAGAAGGAGTGCCAGAGAGGAGCCTGGGCAATGCCTACTGTGTGGCCTGGTAGTTAAAGTACTGTGCTGGGAAGTGAGATGTACAGATTCAAACCTCCTCTAGGCAAGGGGAGCTTAGATCCAAGATCTCCTACTCCATAAGCAAATGCCCTAACAACTAGGCTATTGGATTAAAACATTGGAGGGCTCTCTTCTTCCTGCTTAATTCCATGCAGGGCAAAATAGAACCCCAACTGTGCATAAGTGCCAGGCACTACCAAGCTGCATACATGTCATTTAGGCATGTAAAATTAAATAGGATTTAACTAAAGTTATGATTATTACTTTTAAATAACTGTATTAACTGCTGATTAAAATTAAAATTGTAATCTTGGGCTTATTTTTGTTATTATTCCATAGTAATAAGTGCAACAATATTTGGACTATGGCTCACAAAGCAAAATAACCATCTGTGTTCTTTGCACAGTACAATATCTGACAACCCCATCCATTTTTTGAAAGCACACTAATCTGTTTTGGCTTTTTAATGTAGCAAAATAATCATCCTAATTTTTTTTCTTCAGATATTGTATTTATATAGGAAGCTTATATTATATACTGTCATGGACCCAGAGGGACAGCCTTCTATCTCCAGCTCCCTCTTTGCAAAAATGAAATTTATTTCCTACCTATGGGGACTTTTTACCATCTTATACCATCTACACTTTTCCCAGAGTCTGACAAAGGGACTTTGATCCCGAAACCTTGCCGAAAAGGACAATTTTCTTACCATTTTCCAGTTGGTCTAATAAAAGGTATCATTTTGGAACCAAGAGTTCTAGTTTTTTGTACATTAAATTACTTTTGCTCATTTGCAAACAGATTTAGATTATCTGTACTTCTATATTCCAGATTTCCTTTTTCTGACCATTCTAGCAGGTTTAGGCACAATAAATGCAGGTAGTTGTACTAATACTTCATTATTGATACTTTCCTCTGTATTCAGTGCCAGGGCATGTTATTGCTAGAGCATGTGTATTTTATATGTAGATGTACAAGAAAATCCTGGCTCTTTGTGATCACTGAGCCCACATGGCATTTTTACTTCAGTGGCTCTTGTCTTTTTCTCTTTCATTTTTGATGATTTTTTTTTTTATAATTTCAACTATCACTCCTATATTGGTTCCCAGACCTCTCTCTCAACCTTAAATCCCTCCCGATATTTATTTGATTTCTATGCTACCTCCCCCGAAAAAGCTCAGGAACACTTACAATAAAACCAAGACACATAATTGAAAACAGATAAAATATTTAAATTAATTAGTAAACGATAAAACAATCTCTCATGTGTTCACCACTGCATTCCATCTCCTCCGTTAAATAATATATAGGTATTTTTAAGGAGCATAGTCCCCTATGCATCAGGACATTAGCTAACTGCTGACTGCGGAAGGTTAGAGATATTTATCCTATGCATAAGTTATTCCATAACTGTCCATTACAGGTTTCCTTGGATCTTTTCAAAGCATCTGGTAGTGGTCACTGTCAGAGACAGAACCACAAAGCATTAGTCTGATTCTTTTTTCTTACTGAATCTGTTTCCTTTCCTTTGCCCCTCTTATCTCTATTGCATCTACTATCGTTTCCTTCTCTCAGGCTCACAATCCAAGTGTAATCTTCCTTCACTACATCCAGTTTCTTATAAAGGCCTATTATTGCTTCCTTTTAAATATCCCCACAATCTATCCTTTCCTTCTTGTTCCCTTTACCAAACTCCAGTATGTAGTAATTTTTCATCTTGACTAATACACCTAACCAGGTCTCCCCTAGAGTCTATCCGAATTGCCTCAGCTAGGACATCTTCCTTTTCTCTTGCTCCAGTCATAGTAAATGTGCCCCACATCTCTCTTTATCTCTTAACACATAAAATCCAAATCCCCCCCTTCAAGACTATAAAGCATATCTTTTAAAAAAGAAAATAAAAGTTAATTTCCTTTTGTGTTTACATTTCAGGATTTGATGTCTAATTTTTTCTTTGATACAAAAGTTGATTGCACAGCTTGCACACAAAACTACAGAGGGAATGAATAGCTCCAGCACATTTTTCAAATAAGTTAATTACATGTTAAAGTAATGTACATAAGTAATTATCATACATACCTAGAGTAACTGATTCTGCATTTCCATTCCCAGCGTTTCGGAGAAAGCAGAGAATGGACTGGAGTCCCTTCTGTACAATATCTTTAGGTGGAAACTCCAGGGGACAATGCCTTAGATTCAAGGCTTTCAATGAGGTTAAGTTACCTGCGGAAAGTATAATTTTTAAAACTTCTGGAAGAATGGTCAGTCTGCAACTTCAAGGACTTAAATTGTAGCTATTAGAAATATTGATAAGAAGTACCTTTCTATCATGCTCATAATGAATGCAGGTGTTGATTGCCTACTGTTTAAATTTATTTAGCCATGTCTAACGATTTTTAACCTGCTGGTTGAAGAGGTAGTAACTTACAATTTATTTTATGTCTTTGTAACTGTAAAAACTCTAAAAATAGCTAATGTTATTACAAATACCATTTTATGAAATTTACCAGTGAACACAAGAAAAATTCTGAAGCCCAAAAATTTCTGCTTCAAAAAAAAATTAGGTGCCCTTACAGAACCCCCTATTATTCAAGCAGTATCTAGCCAAACACAGCTCACATTTGGATTTACTAAGACCTACATATACCAATGAAAGACTTCAAACACACTTCCATAGTTCCCACTAGACACATATAAAGAACAGATATAAACACATAAAAACTAATATAATCAATATAATAACTTACATAAAATATTTTATTCTAATCAAAACGTTCACTTTCCTATTTGCAATGTCTGTTTTTATATTTATTGCTGTTTTGATATAATAGTTTTGCATCAATTTCCCCCCACAAGATAAATAGGTACTCCATCATTTTTGCTTTTACTGCTCCTTCCTATTTCCCACTATTGCTCTTATTTCCTGTTCCCTTGACTGTTATTTTCCCTCACCCTGCTTTTTTCAGTATTTGTTTTCCATGTGTTCCCAATGTTTATTTTTTTAAACATATCTTGCTAAAACTATGGTCCACACTGTTCAAACTAATTTTTAAATTGTCTGATTCTCAGTTCTTAACTTGGGGACTTTCTCACATTGCCCTAAAAATGGTGTGCATGATCAAAGTTAGTTCACCACAAAGGTAAGCTATTTTTATATTGGTCTGAGGTTAACCCAATCTAGCAGGGGTTAGCCCAGTTTAGTGAACACCTGCACATGTTGACAGCACAGCCCCGGGGCTAGAAGAGCACAGGTAGTCATCATAGTCCCAGGGCTGTGCTGTTTTAACTCCCCTGACCCTGACTGGGCAATTTCCACCTCCCCCAGACTGGGTAGCTCCACCATGGACCTATCAACCCCCACCAGCAACCCCTCCTGCCCGCCACTTACCCAACTGGCTACGCCTGCTTCCTACAAGCAGCAAATGCTTGCACATGCTGGGTCCACCCCAGATTTAGGCTGCTTAGTGTACACTAAACAAGCATCTTAGTGCAGACTGCTGGCTCGCATCTTAGAGCTACTAAGAATGACTAGGTAGCTAAATTGCCACAGGGAGGAAAGGAAACTTGAGAGTTTGGGGGTCTGTTTGGTTGAAAAGACTTTAGGAGAAATGTTGGGCCTGTGGACTGTCAATAACAAAATTATCACCGACTTCAATAAGGTCATGCTTTCCTTCTTTCTAAAAAGTCTCTTCAAGAAATAGCTTTGGAGAGAAAAGTTAGAAAGATTTTGTTTTGTTTAAACTCTTTGAGGTATCTCTTTGAGCCAAAGGGAGACCCTACATTTTGTTTCCAGCCTGGTTCAAGGGATTTAGTTTACTGTAAACAAAAACAGAACCAAGACACTACATTTAATTCTGAAAGCCCATCACAGGTTTTAATCTACACTAAGAGGAGTAAGTTTAAAAACTTGGTTATGGCCTATTATGAAAAAGGAAACACTGATAGTCAAAGCAAGAAACTGGACTTTGCAGGATAGAATGGAAATTCAGAGAGAACAGATCCACACTGCTGCCTTTGTTTAAGGCCCATAACAGATTTCCCAGATACCTGGAAAACTCTTTGTACTCCTCATGAAAGAAATACTTGGGAGCCTGTGTTAGTAGGGTGTTCAAAAAGAAAGATTTCAAAATACTAGCTAGATGTAAATCAACACAATGACATCTGCCTGAGTTTGCGGAGAACCTAAAACAATTTTTAAGAGCAATATTCACCCCTTGCAGAGTGCAAACATGAAGCCTTTACACCTATAAAGTTTCACTTATGATCTATTTTCAGTGGCAAATAGTATAGATTTTGTTCAGGCTCTTTAAACTGTAATCATATTTGTTCTATCAACAGATGTGAAATACACCAGTTCTACAGAATTGCATATAAAGCTTGGCAATGACAATCAAATGTTAACAATTTCCCTGTTATCAAAACTCATAAGAAAAGAAAAAAGGCAGGCAGAGTGGCACCTTATACACTAACTCATTCAGACAGGCATGAGCTTTCGGGGTACCTATACATATGCTCCAACATGTTCTAATTAGAACGTGTCAGAGCAGACTTGATTAACAGTCTGCTTTTGCAGTTCTAATTGCTTTAATTAGCAGGTTCTAGCATCACCACAGTATCATGTGTGTAAGCTCCTATGGGTTTAAAAATGGCTGCTGGGGCGCTTTAACAAAAGCTCGTCGAATGAACTTTAGTTAAAGCACTCCATGGCCACTTTTGAAATTGTGGATGCTTAATACATATGGTGCTGCAGTGTTTAAATTAGAGCTGTTCTCCGGGAACTGGGTTAATTAAAAATGCCGCCCCCCCCCACTCCTGAGCACGGGTATAGGTGCCCTTGTTGACTAGAGCCATCTGACAAAGAAGGCTGTAGCCTGTGAAAGCTCATGCTTCTCTGAATAAGTCAGTTTCAAAGGTGTCACTCTGCCAGCCTTCTGCCTAACTTCCAACACATCTAACTACCTCTTTCAAAAGGAAGAGACAGACAATCACAATATACATTGAGTGACACCTCAATTTTTCAAGTGAGTTCTGTAAATGGAACTTTATCCAGTATCCCAGAATATCCTAGAGCTTTATCCAGAGGCTCAGAAGACCCCATCTACAGGGGTTCAGCA